AAGAGCCGGCTCTTTTCACTGAGCCGATCCAAATGAACCGGATCACCGGATCACCGAAAAGAGCCGAAAATCCCATCACTTCTCACAACTACTCCAAAACTCGGCCGCACGAGTCCCGACAAGGACCAGAGGGCGGGAACACATTGAACCAGTTTCAAAATCGATGCGTTGGCTCCACGTGTGTTTTAGAATTGATTTTATGGTGCTTTTATAATATCCATCCATCCATTTTCCGATCTGCTTTATCCTCACAAGGGTCGCGGGGGGTGCTGGAGCCGATCCCAGCTGTCTTGGGTCAGTAGGCGGAGGACACCCTGAACCGGTTGCCAGCCAATCGCAGGGCACACAGAGACGAACAACCATCCTCGCTCACACTTACACCTAGGGACAATTTAGAGTGTTCAATCAGCCTGCCGTGCATTTTTTTGGAATGTGGGAGGAAACCGGAGTACCCGGAGAAAACCCACGCAGGCACAGGGAGAACATGCAAACTCCACACAGGAAGCCGGAGCCGGGATCGAACCCACGACCTCTGCACTGTGAGGTTTATAAGCGCCGGTGTTTCCTCTTGTCGGGTGTCCACGCTGGGAGGTGTGACGGCTGTCACTCAGCGTTGATTAGCTCCCCTTGGGTGCTCTTTTCCTGCCATGCCTTCTTTCATTTCAAAGTGTGTGTGTGTGTGTCTGCCTGTGTGTGTGCAAGCACAGGCATGCTTGTGGGGATATATATCTGTGTGTCGGGGGGAGGGAGTCCTCTTTTTTTGTTGCGATTTTGAAATTTTAATTGCACAGCACTTTGAGTTGTGTTTTTATGTCTGAAAAGTGCTATAAATGTTTGATTGATTGATAGCGCTTTTCCTGACTTGTGTGTGTACACGTGTGTATATACAGACTGCTGTACTTGTACTTTTGTTTTGTTTTATTTAAAGAAATATTATACAACGGATGTACTGGCGTTATCAGTTACTTGTAATCGGTGAGTAATCGAGTTGAGTAAACACAGTGGTTGGAATAAAATGGCATCGACAATCCCTCACGACAAGGTTGTTTTATTTTTTCCCAGTACTTAACTAGTGCCTACGCTTAGTGCCCTAAATTGTTTTACTGGTGAAGTAGCATGTGGACTATAATCTGGATATCACACATCGGATAAATGCTCGTAACGGCTTTCCAGACTACAGAAGCATGCAGATGTCAACTACTTCAGTTTTGCCTCAGAAGTAATATATAGTTGTGAAGACTATAGTATCCTAAACCTTTCCTACTAATATGTAGAAATGTCAATGATTATAGTGGATTTTTTCTTTTTACATCAACTTGTGTACGGAATTAACTTCTTGGTGAAGACTAAATAGCTCAGTGGGCCTACGTGTGCCCGAATTTGAATTCCACAGCTATCGAGTAATGCTCAAACGGCTTTCCATAGTTGTAAAAGGGTTGTACGGTATGCACTGTAACCCGATCCATCAACGAGACAAGGTTGGGCGCTTTTGTAGCCGTAGGTGTCCCACAGCATGCTTGAAATTACGCACGCCCAGGCTGCCACACCCAGTAAATCATTCACAGCGGCCGCCAGCAAAACGAGCATTAAAAAAAAACAGTCACACTCATACAAGATAGCCTTTTATTATATTACAGTCGCACACAATACAGATGTTACAGTGAAAAGACATTCGGCCTGTTGAAGTCAAATGTTCAATAAATTAAGCCAAATCTACCTTTACGTATTCTTCACGAGATGATTAGAATGTTCATCGCCAGTTAGCGAGCAAATGCAAAACGCGGAAATGCCAGATTTCCCGTCGACTCGACTTCTGCGTCGCCGTTGTCAGTCTTGTGTCAGTCAGACGTTGGTCGCCGAGTTGACGCCCTTGTGCAGACTTTCACAGGTTTGGCAGAATGTCGCAATAACCGCTGGCGGCGGCTGCTACTGCAGCCACACCCGCTCCCGCGTTTGACGATCGCAACCGACGCTGCTGGAATGCGTTTGCACAGCTCTCGTATAGTTTCGAAGCAGACGAGTCACAAAATGAATTTAAAGTGGGGACGGGCATTTCAATGTGTTTCTTTGTTCAATGAATTCATTCTTTAATTTTTTTAACATGATTTGATTGCGTGATAAAACACAGTTCTGGACTTGATATTTGCTAGCGGTCACAGCGCAACGTCTCATGGCTGACATCGTGTTGAACTTCTTCAGACGGCAACGGTGGGAGTGGTCGCAGCCAACTCGTGTGCGCCAGCTGCTCAGTTGCCTCCAGACGCGATTAATCAGCAATGAAATTCTTATCATGCCCAACCCTACTTTAAAGTCCGCAGTTCAATGTCTCTTCGGCAACTGTATCTTAGTTCATATTATTTCATCATAGAAAAATATCAAAACTCTATAAAAACAAAACAAACTGGGGAACCATTTCAACAAATAACCAACCCCACTTTGCACGTCATTTACTATGAACAAGTCGAATTAGTACAACCCAAAATACCTGAACTTGTTACTAAATTATCACCAAAAAAAAGAACAAAAATACCCAAAGCCTGTCACTACACATCAATGCATTAGCTACTAACGACCTGCAAAACCAAGATTGCAAAAAGCGCAACGCAACAGTTATGTACAAATGACAGTGTCAGCGAGGTTATCAGTGCCTGTGACTCAAAACAAGGCAGCAGAGGTTTTAAAAAAAAATCCAGCAAAAGAGACATACACATGACTCGGCTTTCTTTCATTCTTCGTGTTCAGGCGTCACGTGGGTGGGAGGGGGCGCGCTGCATCCGATAAAAGCAAAACACTGAGATTCTTCGGCTTTGTTGTTCATGTCTTTTTGGAAACGGCGGCGAGATTTTTGAACTTGGGTCCCAGCGTATTTAGAAAGTCGAGGTTTTCGTTGTTGCCGCCGTCGTCGCTGCAGCACCCAACCGAGCCGGCCGCCGAGCCTACCCCCTCAAAGCCGTACTGGTGGATGATGTCATCGGCGTACCGCCCGTCCTCCTCGCCCCCAAAATAGGTAAGCTTCTGCAAGGCATACATTAAACCCACAAATGCATACTGTATTAATAAAGATGTTTACTTGTGACAGCCCGTATTATCTTACATATACTTTGTAAAAAAAAAAAAAAAAAAAGCCCTTCATTAAATTTGGAATTACACTGCATGATTCAAGTCAATTCCAATGTCCTGCTGTCATATGACAACGTTGGGGGAAATGTGATGGCAGTGTCATTCCGAGAAAAAAAAAAAAACATAGATCACAAACTTTTGTTAATCTTAACTACAGCTAAAGCATAGACACACAAATAAAGTCTGAAATAAATATACTACATTAGCGGCGCATTCATCGTGAATTCAGCTAAGTAACAGCTGATGACAGCCAATGGCGTAATGTCAAGATTACCCCAATTTTAAATCGGTGGAGGAAGAATCAGCCCAGGCCAGCGAAACACTATGCAACATATAATATTATTATCCTTGATGTATTATTGTTTACTTCTTCCGATGGAACAAAGGTCTGAAATCAAAACCTGCATTCTAAATCAAGTCGTAGAGCTAGCTACTCTACTCTTACAACTACAGAAATTCTCCTATCCATCCATCCAGCCATTTTCTGATCGGCTTTATCGTCACAAGTGTCGTGGGCGTACTGGAGCCGATCCCAGCTTTTTTCGGGCAGTAGGCAAGGAACTGGATGCCAGCAAATCGCAGGGCACTCATAGACGAACAAACATTCGCGCTCACGATCACACCAAGGGACAATGTGGAGTCTTTCCATGAGCCTGCCATGCATGTTTTTGGAATGTGGGTGGAAACCAGAGTACCCGGAGAAAACCCACGCAGGCACGGGGAGAAATGCAAACTCCACACAGGAAGGCCGGAGCCAAATTCGAACCTTACACCTCGGTGCTGAGATGCGGATGTACTAACCAGTCAACCACCTCTCTCAACACCCCCCCCCCAAAAAAAACATAGGAGTGAAACATTACCTGGTGCAAATAGCGTCCATTTGTTTGCCAGGTGCTGAGAAAGTTTGCGTCGTAGTTCATCTGTTGGGCTCCATACCGGCTGTCGTAATGTCCGCTGAAGAACTCCGTTTCGGTGTTGCCAAAGCCGGTCTTGTAGAGGGTGGTGTCTTGGCGTCCGATGGTGGAGCCCTTCACTTGCCAATCCTGATTGGCCACTGAGCCCTTGATTTCAGAGTCGGCGAGGGGGACCTTGATGAGACTAGCGTCCTGTCGACCAAAAGCACGAGTCAGGAAACAAAGTGTAGCGGCGGTTGAAAAGTGGTTCTTTTACGTTGCTTGTATTTGAAGAAGCAACCCTCCTTTGCGCTTACCACTTCTTCCCCCGGGGCTTCTGTGTTTGACTTAATCAGGATTCCACCGCTGTCAGTTGTATCCTCCAATATCTGCAAGTCTGGCTTTGTCGTGCAGAAACAGGCAAGCAGCAAGACTGCAGGAGCAACATGGCTCATGTTAAATGGTGGTGCTGAATAAACTTGTCAATCAATAAGTCAGGATTGCTAAAAATGTTCACATTCCCTAAGTATGATGCTAATCCGTATTCGCATGGGCACTGCCTCTGACATACCACCATACGTGCCAACCTTTGCCAGCTAGTGCCCTTAAGACCAAATAATTGCTTTGTGCTTTTCTTTTTGTCTGTACTGTATTACGAGGGGAATTCCATCTTGTTTATTATAACGATAATGTTCCATAATCTACAACAGCGGTGGTCAAACCTTTGTGCTCAGTCAGGGACCACAATTGATTTCCCACATTGGACAGATGAAAAAAATTAAAACGTACTAAATCTTGTAATGTAATAAAATGATCAATAAGCAAAATATTTAATACATTGGTTAAATGTGTATGTAAAATTGTTGAATGTTCCAATTATGTATTGAGGTGAAGAAATAAAAACAATATATCAGAAAAATGAAAACGGCTACATGAATACAACAAATATTATTGGACTCTTGATCATGTAAATGCTTTGTAGACCAATTGAAAGTACATTGGCCATGGGTGTGCATTTATGTGCTAACCGTAATGTGCAAAGAGACCACGACGAGAATGGGCATTTCAATAGATTGATTATGAACTAGCAAGTTGATTATTATTATTTTTCGGGCTCAATTACTTTAAGACTAGTGATTAATTAGCATTCAACTCCACAAAATGGACAGAATTTCAACAATTAGTTCATCCATTTCTATTGTAATTTTTTTTCAAGATTTGAATTCTTGCTCTGCAAATTTCTGACTCCATTATGAGACACGAAATTCTTAATGATCAACATCTTTCCTGGTCTCAGACGGCATTTCATTTGTTTTTCTGTTCTTTACCGGCTCGACAGACTTTCTGAATTAGATTATAATACACGATACAGCGATAACCCTATTTTTCACTCCGGTGCGCTATGTATGTGAACAATGTAAGAGAGGAACTGACGTAGCAGCAGGAGGAGGAGCAGAGGCAGAAGTAACGCCAGCCAGCCCATCGGGCCGAGCGAGGCCGACCAAGGCTTGGTCAGACAGGCGCCGTTCCTGCACTGGCAGATCCTGATGTTGACTGTCTGGATTTTCCCGTTGCCCTGCAGATCCTTGACCTCAACGGGAACTCTGTGGATCTTCAAGGGAAGGTCTTTGACCTGGCGCAACGTAGCTGCCGTGTCTACAAAGGAAGCACGCAATCTGTTTTTGGGCATGATGAATGAACGAATCGAAAAGGGAAGGAGAGTGAGCACCTACCGTTGAACCTGGTCACGGACCATTTGCCGTCTATGTTATCGGGCAGGCTAAAAGTGAAGGGGCCTTTAAAGGGCGACTCGTCCATATCTTCAGCCACAAGCAACACCGAGCCAAGTTCTCCTTCCTTCTCACATATCACCCTCTCGCCAGGGGGGACAATAATCGGCACGTTGTCATTCACATCCTCCACCTGGATTATGACCGTTCCCGTCCCAGTCTTGGAAGCTGAAACGTAAGACAGAACATCGTCGTCAAAGTCGAATTTGAAACTCCTCACAAAGACTGCGGCCCGCAGTCAGCTTTTCTGTGAGTCACTGTCGATCAGGTCGGACAGAACCAGTATGGGTGCAGCTCAGACAGGTAACCGCCAAGGAATTGGTGCTCCCCATCACTTTGGGCGGCGACAAAATGGCCGAAAGGAGCAGAGGGGGAGGGGCAGGGGGGACGTCATCTGCGGTGACACGACGTGCAGATGCCTTCCCAAGATGCATTTACCTGACTGATTGGTGATTTGCCAAACCCAATTAGGAACAATTTAACGAGACAAAGGTGTCCTCTTCATCATGCTGTTTACATTTTGACATCACGAGACCAAGACCACACATAACAATTGATCAACAGTGTCGAACATGGTGGCCACTGTACTTTGAGTCTCACAAGAGCGTCATCAGCAAGTTGCGATAGATTCAGAGATACTGGAAGAGTCACAGAAAGGTGTAGCAGGATACTTTCCTAGTCGATTAATAGTGAATTGTGAATTTCGCCAGTCAATGCCTCGTTAGAGAACGGCAAGTTGTGTAAGTATTGTGGCACGTGTGTATTTAAAAAGCTAAGAATGAAGTGCATTTTGGGTTGATCCTAATTCTTGCTATGATCTATTTGAAAAGCGTCATACTTGCGTCGACAGCTCTCATGGTGATGTTGTAATTTCCATTCTTGACAAAGTTGGACTCTCTATCAATGGTGTTTGCCACCCTCAGTTCTCCCGTGTTCCTGTCCACATTGATCCAGGCTGCAGGGTCCATGATCTTGTAATACCTGCAAAACGGCCCAAATAGTCCTCGTCAGTCTCACATTTTTTTTTTTTTTTTTTTTTTTTAATCCTACTTCACGGATTTCACTTAGCACTGGTTCTTTTTGGAACGTAACCCCCGCGATAAACGAAGGATTACTGTATGCTAAAATCATGGCATGTAGTGAAGTGAAGCGCATTTCGATTCAAAATTTCAGGTTAAATTGCCAACATTGGAAGGAAACTCTGTCCAAATTGAGGCCACCCTGTACAGCGAGTTATGTAATGCGCATTTCAGGTTGGACTCGTCTTTTACACGAAGAAAAAAAATTAGACAAGCATGCATCAAAAACGTTATTGAGGCATGGGACATCCATCCAAGCGAGTGCCCTCGAGTGAGCGGAAGGGGCTGCTTACTTGATGCCGTCGCTGCTCTTGGTTTCCGGATCAATGGCTTTGTAAGTTCCAATCAATGTGCCGTTTGGCGTGTTCTCTTTGACCGTGAAGCGAATAGTCGGCGCCGTGAATTCGGGGCCTTCGTCAACATCGCCGACCGTCAAGTCCACAGGGACGATCTCCCACTTGGCCGTGGTGCCGGTCAGTTCAGCTTCATTGCGGGCCATGACTTCCAGCCGCAGTTTTTGGGACTTCTCAAAATTTAACGGCTGGAAAAGACGATCGGACACTTTACTTCAAGATTACTACTCATGGCGGTTCTTCAATTTGAAAATCACTCACTTTTGCGATGTACAAAAGCCCCTCATTTGTTGTGGGTTCCGTCTCCATCCGGAAATTGCCATTTTCATTTCCCTTTGTGATGATGAATTTAGATTTCCAGTTGGGGGTGTTTTTTAAATCCTTATCTTCAACAGGCATTCGGAGGATAAGTTTGTTGATTTCATTCTCGTTTGCGGTGGCTTCATACTGCAGGATGAAAAAAATTGCTTGGTAAATAATAAAACAATTGCTTGTCATCAGCTGAACTGAGAGTCAATCTTTTTAACACTCATGTATTGGAATACACCTGATAATAAGTAAATCATGCAATCAGGAATTTAGCCGGGCTCATTCATCTGACATCTTGGACAATCCAATTTTGTGAACGGTGTGGAGGAACTTAAGACTTACAACTTTTGGGGGAAAACTACAATTGATTATGAGTCAAGGGGTCCTCTTTCTGATCCATCATCACAAACTGCTGAAGTAAGCATTATGTGATCGGGATCAGTGAGTTAAATAACCAATCAGAATCAACACTAATCCATTTTGAAAAAAACGTGTATATTTACTGTTCGTGGGGGACTGGCCTGGGCCACAAATCTCGACCAACTGGCGGACATTGAAATGCATTAGAAGAAAAATAACAATTACAAACTCAAAATTCTCCCCAAAACGCTGATAATCATTCAATTTTGTTATGTTCTTATGACTTCAAGATGGCGCCGCGAGAGTGGGTGCCTTTACAGCAGCTCCTATACTCTTTGTTCATCTACTTTCTTCCTTTCATAACTTTGCTGCTGTAAATTGGGAATTTCTCCATTGTGAGACGAATAAAGGTTTCCTTATTCTTATAATACTCAGAAATTGGGTGGGTGGGGGATGGAAGAGATTCAACACTAGCCCCCCCAAAAAAACAACATTATTTTAATATATTGAGAGGGAAAAAGCCTCGAGGCTTTTCCCTCCTAAAGCTGCTGCCCCCGCGACCCGACCCCGGATAAGCGGTGGAAAATGGATGGATGGATGGATGGATGGGAAAAAGTCCAACTGTATATGTTGAGAAACTTTGGATTATTAACGATGGCTGCACCGAACGTCCCTGTAGGGAACGAGATTGTGTTTGTTGTAATAGCAGAACAGATTTTCAAGTTCTGCGACTGCTCTATAAATCACTGAGTGGTTTGGGTCCTGAATACATTAAAGAAATGCTGGTTGAATATAAACCCAGTCGGGCGCTAAGATCTACAGTATTGGGTCAATTAGTGGAGCTCTGAGCTCAAAGTAAACATGGTGAAGCTGCATTTAGCTGTTACGCTGCATGCAATTCGAATAATCTTCTGACAGAAGTGAAATCAGCTCAGAGTATAAATGTTTTTAATTCCAGGTTAAAATTTTTTTTTTTCTCCCCATACCTTTGACTACAGTCTTTTCAACATTCGTTCAATTTTTTTTTTCCTTTCGTAATTTTAGAAAGTATTACCAGTTTCTTGGTGAAGGTCGGTGGGTTGTCGTTGATATCGCTCAGGGTGATGGTCGCCGTACCCGTGGTGAACAAACCGTTGGCTGCACCGTCCATATCTTTGATTTGCACAATCACGTTATACATTTCTTGAGCCTGACGAAAGAAGATTCCATTCAGGTCACACATGGTAGAATTGAATGGAGTCAAATTGCACTCGGGGCTCCACCGGTTCTCACCTCTCTGTCTAATGTGTTTGTAGCCGTGGTAATGACACCCGTCGTTGGGTTGATGGCAAATCGATCCAATTCGGTCAAAAGGGAATAGCGGATCTTCACGTGGTCGGTGCCTTTCTGGTCTCTGTCGGTGGCGTTCACCGTCCCCATAATAGTCCCTGTGGATGGAAAAAGGGCGATCATCTTATCGATTGTTGTCAACACAAAGCAATCAAAGAGCCCACAGTCATGTGTCATGTTCCTCACCTGCTTTGCTTTTCTCCGGCACGGTAAATTGCATTTGGCCGCGGAACTGAGGCGCATTGTCATTCTGATCGTCTACTGTCACAAAGACGCCCAGAGGGTCATCGGTTTCTTGCCGCGTTGTTCTGTCGAAAACCCTGGCTATTAACTGCAAAGAAAAAACAAACAAACTTTTGTTTGGTTGAGCAAACATGGTTTATTAGTTCATCGAATGGAGGGATAAATAGTTCGAGTAGATACAATAGTGTGTTCGTTCCGTGAGAGTTATGGAATGGTTTACAATTTAAATTGATACACAATAATCCAGGCTGTTCCCCAAAAGTGTGTCGATATATGTTTACTGATGGTTTAAAGTTTTACTATTTCTTTTTGGGTAGCAACGAAAAGGTATTTTCTGTGTTAGAACACAGTCAACCAAGCGTGTGCAGAATGCATTTATGTAGAAATTCAATAAAAATTCACCCAATGGAAAGCAGATTGGGGCATAGAATGAAAAATGTCACACATGATGGCAAAGAACACTTTTTTGTTTTAATTTTGTTTCTCCTAGCACACGTCACTCAAATATTCATATTTCAAATGCTGTCACTTTTTGTGTGTGTGTGTGTGTGTGTGTGTGTTTGTGTTGACACACTGTATCTAAAATGTGTTGAAATAAATAACATTTGGCCGAAAAATTTGAAGAAGGAAAAGCGCCAACTCACGGCAAACTGTGGGAACTCCTCGCGATCGACTGCCTTGAGCACAGTCAACATTCCAGTATTGCTGTCAAACTTAAACACTCCCTCTGGGTACTTGTCATAACCGGGCCCCGTCAGAGTGTAGTATACCCGATGCACTGCTTCAGTGTCAGACACAAGCTGCAACAGAAACCAAAGACAAGCACAATAATATGGTTTCCATCGAGGCAAATTCTCTGGCCATGTGTTACAGAAATGAAATGTTTTAAATTGATCGACAACACACCATTCCAAACTTGAATACCCTTCATAATAACACCAAATGGAGTAGAACATACTTCCTTCGTGTGTGTGTGTGTGTGTGTGTGAGACAAGCTTACATATTAAAGCTCTTCCCTTTTTATCTGAAGGCAGTTGGGAGTACCTTTTTTATTTTTCCATTTTATAGTTGTTGGCGCACCCACACACGTGCATGTGTCCTGTGTGTGTGTGTGTGTGTGTGTGTGTGTGTGTGTGTGTGTGTGTGTGTGTGTGTGTGTGTGTGAGTCATTTGCTGTGAAAATAATTGTCCCAAGTGGCCATGAGGAATGGGGAATGGTTTTATGGCACTGTATTACATAAGAGCAGAATTTACAGAGAGAACGATGATGAGGTTTGATCAACAATGTGTGAGGTATATATTCAATATGTGGTCATTGTTTGCGTTGGTGTGAAATGCAGACAACAGTTTCCAATTATTGTTTTGCACCACTCGTGTCGGTCAGTAGTTATAATACTGTATCGACACACGAAAGGCTAATTAGAAAATTGCTGTGGTGCACTACAGTTCCAACACCAATGCAGCCAATGTCGAAATACAACCTTCCTGACAGTGACAGTGAGCATGACTCTGAATAGATAAAGAGAATACATTGAATGACATAAGGGCTAAAATGTTTAATGTGGTGTGTATGTTTCAATACATTACCCTTTCAATGTCTCTTGGATAAGGGCCGGGGTCATTCTCCAATATATTGAAGGGTGGGGGGCTCCAGCGTCTCTTGTACCGTTTCAGCACGTCATTGGGCTACACACATTTCCGGTACAGTCGATTAATATTTCAAGCAATTACAGTGATTGGAAGTAATTCAGAACAAATACTCTGCTACTGCACTTGAGATTTTACAAGGATCTGTAAATTGAGGATGGATTGTTTTCTGAAAAAGACATCCGTACTTTGTAGTCCTTACTAAGAAAGGTTACATTGTGTTATACTTGAACAGAAAGAAGTAACAGCAACCATGATTGAGATTTTGATTGAAAAATGCAACAGAAAAAAAGGGCAGCAATATGGCGGACATGGACGAGCTAGCATTGACAACGACAGAAACAGATTCGGAGAAGCCAGATATTTTGGGTCTGAATCATTCCCAGACTCAGTAATTGTAATACCTGTAATAATATGTTATACTACTCTGTTACCAGCTTATTGTAACATATTATGGTAAAGCGTTGCCCCAATATTGGAAGTTTAGTCATCATGAGCTAATTTAGCATTTTTGTGAGTCATTTCACAGCGAAAAGTTGAGCCAGTGCAAGCTGTTACCTGTTCTTTTTTCTCAGTTTGAGCACCACGTAGGTTAATACAAGAGGCAAACCATTTTGTGTGTAGTTAAATTTTCTTTCATTGTGCGGTTATGAAAATAGGTATTGTACATAATTGACGGTAAAATGTATTTTTACTGTATAGTTTTACTTATGTAAAGGAGATGAACAAGTACTTCTACTTGTACCAGTGAGTGTTTTTTACACAAGTATCTGTGTGCGTGCTTTTCCAAATCTAAAGTGTCGTGCTTTTGTACCTGTCTGCTCATTTGGGCGCTGGCAATGAGGTTGACGTCCATCTGCATGTGCGACCCGGAGCTGTGTTGAGCCCACACGGAGAAAGTTCTGCCTTTGGACGACACTTCGACGACGGTTGTAGCCGTCACCGAGCCATTGGACCAAACTGCGAATGCACGGTCGTTGGAAGTGACGCTCGCACAGCTCGCCACATTAACTACAACACACGGAAGAACAGCGGTTAGTCACTTTTTTGTTCGTTTATTTTCAACCGAATAAATACAGAGGCGGTTAGCTCAATCTAATAATAACAATTAATTCATTTTAAGAAAAGAAAAAAAAAACACCTCTTGTTATCTCGTATCCGACCGGGATAATTTGCGGCACTGGGACGTAGAGGAGACTCGGGATAAAGCAAGACTCGACTCCGGTCAGGATCTAAAGTTACACAACGTTAGGGTCAAATATCACATTCGGATCGAATGTTCCACTTTATTCATTAAAGAATAAAATAAATACAAAAAAAGCCACATATGTTGGACTCACCAGCGCCAAGCACACGTTGAAGATGACGGCTTTCGCCATCTTTTTTTTTTCTTTTTGCACAAATTTGGACTTTGCTCCAAGCAGAAAGCAGTCTTCTCACGGCGCAAAACAAGAGAAAAAGTACAAGCGATCAATTGGTTATTTGGGAGCCGTGAACATGAAGAAGAAAGGAATCCTGCTGCTTCTCCTACGCCTCCATGGCACCTTTTGCGCTCGCTCTTCTCTCTCGCTGCTGGCGGTGTGTCAATAATCCGGACACACCTTGAACGCCCCACCCAAAGGCTGAGCTTCCCCAGCAGGCTCTGCAGCAGGGAGGAGAACTTGTGTGCACCAAGCGCTCTGGAAACTCCTCCAAATTTGAGAAATTGAAATATCCTCCAGCAGGAGGCGCCGTTTCCCCAATTCTTTTAAACGTTATTAATTTTTCAGACCAATTTTATTTTTGCAGATTGGCTCGTAAAGCTTTCTTCCTCCAAAACAAAGCTGCACCTTATATCACTACCGCTCAAATAATTCTGCTTCACAACTGTAGAAGGAAGAGTATGCATGCATTGTGTGCGTATCTAGCCTTGACACAATTGTCTTGTCTACTTGTTTTTCTAGTGTATCCGGTCTGTGGAAGCTCTCCAAAGTCTGCACAGATGAATGACCTCTGCGTGCCCCTCCTCTTTCCTTAACACAGCTAAGGCTCCTCTCTTAGCACTGCAGGAATGTGCATTAAATGAAGCCTGGCATTGGGGGGAGGCTGTCCTCCCACTTGCTATCTCGAAAAAGTGTTTGGAAAGAAAAAGAGGGAGAAAAAGGGAAAAAAAACGGTTGACAACACTGCAGGTCAGTGTCCTCAAGCATGAACTGAGAGCAGAGTGAGAGCAAGAAATAAAGTAGAAATGAAACCAGACTTTATGCGCATACAGGAAAGGTGAGAAAAATGTCAGGAAGATTGCAGTGAGTCATGGGCGTGGACAGAAGGAAACCGCCCAGAGCTGGGAGCCATAACAGTAAACGCAAAACAGACTCAGCAAATAGTCTTGTCACTCCCAGAAGGAAAGTGACTTATGAGACACGTTCAAACTGGGACGTACGCACGGACACACACAGTTTGAAACAGCACGACCCCCCCGCCGGCCCCCCTCCACAATCCTCCCTATAATACACTCCACCAGTCCTGAACTCTTCACTCTCACTGCTGAACTAAAATGACTCATTTTCCCTGTGAATTTCAGTGTTGCAGTAAACTTCTCAAAAGTGGAACTTATGAAAGTTTGCAAGAAAGATGTACGAAAGAGGCTTTGACAGTTTGTAAACACATGCGTGTTTGACTCCTGACGTCACACATTTCATTTAATAAAAACAGGATATACGCCACCATTTTGATTCAAAGGGCTTGATGTCCAATGTTCATATACAGTACAGTATTTCTGAATGAAAAACATCCCACATTGACCACACGTGTCTGTGGAGCACAGAATATGAGCCCTCAGGGTTTTTATTGTTTTTACATAAGTTAACTTATTAGATAGATGGATAGATGGCAGTCAGGAATGTTCCAATGAAATACCACAACAAATCAACAGGACCGCATCTCACATCAGAGCTTTCAACTTGCGTTTCAGTTTAAGATAAACATTCGTATCCAAACAATCTGCACATGTCCAAACTTAATGCGCCGCCGGTGCCATTGTACATCTAATCTCATTGCAAAGGTCACATCAATGTCACAAGATTGTGTGCATGTGCCAGAATAGACTGTCAACCTATGAGGTATATTGTAAGTGCACCTTATGTAACCACTCTCTGGGCGTGTGCCTGGCAAAGTGGCGAGTCCAGCGGGCATGACACGTGCGTTTTGGTAGAGTTTCTGGCAATACACACTGCTCGACAAACATACGCACCTTCATATTGGTGTGTAGTTTGTAGAGCGGCTTAGTGATAATGAGATAACAGTTTTGAATGAAACTCATGAGAACACTCACGGCAGACTTAAGATTGACTGCACTGTAAAGTCAAGGACACCATGACCGTAAATCTTAAAGCAACATTTGGGAATAAGATGGCCACGAGTAAAAACATTCAAAATCATGCTGATGCTACACTGCTTTGCAATGAATAGAATAGCATTGAACTTTCTTGACCATAGTGATAAAGTGATTTATAATATTGGTGGACCAGCCAAGACGGTGTGTTAGTGCTAGCATAGATGCTATTATTGTTCATCGTTGTGTGCAATGATTGTACAAACTGCTGCACTCTAAAATGACCAGACAATATTGTGGTAAATTTATACTTTATCGTTTTGCAATGCATACAGTATATGTGAATGATAAAAGTAAATTGCACATTTGTCGAAGGAAATCTAAGGAGCTTCATGAAATGTTTTGTAAAAGATATGTTCATTAAATTTCAACATTTTCCAAATGTTCTTGTGCTTCTTTAGACCAAAACAATGGAAAGACCTGTTATTTTGGTTATTAATAGCAGAGTATGGTTTAATTTTAATGGTCCGGCCCACTGGACATCTACCGAGGCCGTATGTGGCCCACAATGTGAAATGAGTTTGACACCCCTGCTTTAAAGCAACAACAATCAAAATAAAACTGCTCTTAAAACAGACTCTTTAAAATCATGTCGATGATACACTATCCTGTACAGAGAATAGCATCTCTTTCATTCTTTTTATGTGTTCAAGAACATTAGTGTAGCTCCCAGAACCCAATGTTATTGCTAGCATAGGTGCTAATGGAACAGATGGGTTGTTCGAATCAGGGTTTTATGCTGTGAATACACATACGATCATCCATAAGTGAGATCTACCCATACAGATTCTGATACTGATCACATGGTGGCCGAATGATCGGAGCTCCATTTGATCAGAGATGGTACCATGTCTTAGTCACTTAACTTTTATCTTGCATTGCTTGGCTTCAGCAATCGGATTGAGATGATAGATCATTTGAAAAAAAAATGTGGTTTGTATTCACCTATGTTACTCAAGTAGAAATTTTATTTCCTAACTGGAGTCATGATTCTGTTTTTGTTTAGATTACCGGTACATTTGTTTTTATTTCAGTTTTGTTTCCTCCAGTGCTTTTTGTCTTCGTTTGGTTTTGTTTCCCCCTGTTGTCATCCGGGCCGCTTGTGTTAACCAATCAGCTCCGCAAACCTTTTGCGTCTTGCCCAGGCATACCTTGGCTCGTCAGTTTGCTTGTATTTTGTTCCCTGGTTCCTGTCAGTCTTTGTCAGATCGTTGTTGCACTCATGTTTTGTTTCTGTTGCTGTCACGTTTTGTGTTACTGTTATGGGTTTTCATTTTATTATTTTGGTTTTATTGAGGGTTTTCACTTCTTTGCGTTTTGGATTTTGTTTTTCTCGTGTACCCCGGCAAATGTTTTTTAATACATCTTGTTCAGCACTCCCTGGTTCTCCTGCTTTTGTGCGTCTACTACCATCACCCTCACATGACAACTGGCTATGTCAGTTCGTGCACACGTTTTGTGAGGACAGCACTATTGTCAGTGGTGGAGTGGAAACCGGACTACTTTTGCAAGTTGGAGACATGTACCAGACCACGGATGGTATCACTTCCCACAATGGTTGTCTACTTATGCCATGTATTCAACAAGCGACCAATCTAGGGAGTAACCTGATTCTTGCTCAAAGTCAGCTCGCAAAGACTCCAGCTCACCTTTTATGAGGACTAGTGAAAAATGGATGACTAAACAAAAACTGACTATGACTTAAAAAAAATAACCTGGATTAAAAAATACAGTAACAGTGTACTGTTCAAATATATCGGCCTGTCTTTAGACTGATGTGTTGTCGCTGAAGTGTAAAAATTGCACCTTGCCTGTGACATTCCCTGGGAGCACACCTTTGGCACCGCACAAGCATTCCCTGTGACTTTTGGTGTGCATGTTTGTTTAATGCAGTCAGGGGGAGGAGGTGGGCAAGAACAGATAAAGAAGGAGGCGCACATTGGCTGACAGCGTTGTCTCGATGCAAAGTGCAGTCAGAGGGCTGGCGGAGAGGAAGTAATTACACTTTTTGCAAGGAAATGTTGTCTGTGCGTGCTTCTGGGATACAAACACACACACACACACACAAAAGAAAATTGCACCATTTACAGTTTGACTCATCCAAAGGGGAGCAGATGCTTTTGCTGATAAAAGACAATGACAAGTTCATGATAAAAATCCTCCCAACGTGTGAAAGATCTGTATTCATGCTATTGCAAAATGTCTTTGCTTCCGTTGAAAATGAGTCACAGTGTTGATGAGTCGGAATGCCTGTACATCCACTTTGCATATACACGACACAAAGCCTCAGACACACAATATTACGAGCAAATATCTAGTCTGGTGTTTATCTGAAAAAATGAGAAACGGAAGGATTCTGAGAAATTGGAAATAGTCAGGGTCCGCCCTGGACTAGTCCCCAGCAATGGCAGGGCGTACATACAGTAAACAAGCTTTCACACTCGCATCTATGGACAGTTGAGCTTCTGAGAATAGAGTGGGCCAACTTAATTGTTGTCATTTCATAGAAAAGTAACACTTAATGACTCCCACTGAAAGTTTAGTGCAGTAATGGTCAAAGTCTAACAACAATATGTCAAATTGATCAATATTTCTTGTAAAATGATATTCACCAGTATGAACAGATACAGTACACTGTTTTTTTTCTGAAGCACTCATTTTATGATGGGGCCTCCCTGTCTCTCTCACATATACTCAAGTCAAACCAAGGCTCATTTAAAGTCATTTATTTTAAAGGAGAAGTCAAGTCAAAACCCCCACTAGTCTAAACACGGCATTTAGATTAGGATTGTGTTGGTGGAATATGAATGAAGCAGCAAAATTCACCTGTTTTATCCATCTCAGGGGCGGCCATTTTTGCCACTTGCTGTCAACTGAAAATGACATCATAGTGCCTTTGCGGCTCAGGTAACGGACAATCACGACTCAGCTTGTGAATGTCACATGACCAAACCCAGAAAACACATTAGCCATAATTGGTTGTTACCCTGTTACACTGACTGGCGACCAGTTTAGGGTGTGGTCTGCCTTCCGCCCGAAATCACCTGCGATAGGCTCCAGCAACCCCCCCGCGACCCTGTTCAGGATAAGCGGTGTTGAAAATGGATGGATGGATGAATTAAATGTTTGTAAAATCAAATATTTAGTTTATGCATTCAACTTAATATTTTCTAAGATAAGTGAATGATTTGAAATTCTTTCCAAATATTCAAATTAAAAACGAGTGAAGTATTTTTCTTTTAAAATTTTGAAA